GGAGTAGATCTAAGATGGACAAAATTACGCAAATAAAACCATATAACAAGCTGTTCATGTCTTGTTTATTTGGATTGGTTTAATAGATGATTTAATAGATATTATATATCTATCCCAGCACCTGACTAAACTAGGTCTCCTTTGGTGGCCTTTGCAGACTTAAACGTCGCAAGTGGTGACCTGTAGAGTCGGGTGCTGGTATTACAGTATCTATATCTACTCCATGATTATACAACATCTATTTTATGCACCGTGCAACATTTGATATAGTATGTAGACTCTGGACTATATTGCGTCCCCCGTATGAAGAGGCTTTTCAATCACGCATGTTTTGTGGAGTTGTTCATCAAGAGTCTAAAACATGTGAATGGAGTAGATGATCTGGCTGGCCATCGGTTCCATCAAGTTCCCATGGCCATCGGCTGCCATCCTTATCCTTCAGAAACATCTTGCCGATTCCATGTCCAGTCGGTGTCAGGCTGGCGTTCCAAAGGTGCCAGCAAAGGCACCGGCGGGGAGGGGTTCAAAACACCTGGACCACTTCACGCCGATGCATTTTTTTGGGTCCAAAGTACCCTAGAAGGTAGGACATGACACATACAAAAAGCAAGTATTTGCCCTAGGGGTTCCAGCTACTTCTCTTTCCAACGTGCTTGAGGTGGATGGTTTAGGGGTAGCTGTGCCCACCGAACCTGAGGAGATGGGCCAGGAGCCCTAGGGTTAATAACATCTGAAACCACCACCCAGAACTCGAACTCATTCACTCCATTGAGGTCAAGCCACGCCCAGCTTCCCATTTTCTCTATGTACAACCTGAAGTCGGGTCCAGGTACACTCTGACTCAACATGGAAGTGGTTTCCCCACACCCGTCTGCAGAGGAAGAGAATCTTCCCAAAAGCCAGGCCATCCACGTTCCAGGGAGTGTTCATCTTATGGGTGTCAGATTTCTCAATGTCGTTTTTTTTTTTTGGGGGGGGTATACGATATACCATGATATACCAGCAGTCACAAAGGGTGCTTATTGGAGGTTTAACGGTTGACCGAACTTGAGATCGAATGAGGTCACGAATCGTCCTTAATGAGGTCACAAACAGAGACGAAAAGAAGAGGTTACGTACTGAAGGTCCTGGTGGACAAAGCATTTGTTTCGGTTCAGTGCTTGGGGTGGATGTGGAGAGGGGGCCTTCGGACGAGGTGAGCCACCAGGTGTAGGGCAATGCACCGTTTTGGGAAGGTGCGTCGACGCAGCTCAGTGTCGATGCTACAGATTAAGCTAAATCTGGCGACACGCTCTGACCAGGAGTCACAAGAGGGGATGCCGGTTCCGAAGGGAGGAAGTCGGGGTGTGCCTGTCACCTCCAGTCACTAGATGGGACTAAGCACCACCCAACTCCATGTGACCGAAGTTTGAGGTTCTTGATTTGATTTATCTATCCCGCAGGGTTTCACTCGGTAGTACACTCTCCCTGCCAACCCGAAGTGGATAGCACCGGCCCCTAAGACACCAGACCATGAAATCAATCCGAATGACCCAAGCAGCGCCTGTGTTCATTCTATCCCGGATCCACATACCTTCTAAGAAGGTGATGTGGGACAGACACTGTTCTGTAGGTTTGGAGGGTGAGTCGTCAGAGAGACGCCAGCGACTCCTGACTCCGCCCGTCGCGAGATCGGCGAGATCGGCCGGAACCGAGATCCGTCCGCCTCGAAGGACGATCGCTTTTTGACTAGCCCAGGGCATCCAGGCAAACCACTACGTATAGCTGGGAGTCCCAATGGTTCCAGTTCGACTAAAACCATAGATCGAACGAATCCCTGGTTCCTTATATATAGTGGGATGCACTGGGCAGAATCCCAGAGCCAGGGTGAATCCCCATGTGGGGAAGAGGCGCCAGGCCTGTGTTGTTTTCCCATGTGTTCCCGGTGAATCACCAGCAAATCCAAGCTGAACAACCAGGCCAAGCGGGGAAATATCAAAACGGTGCCACACCAGGCAGGCAGACGCTGTTTTTGTCAGGGTCTGGAGCTTGCGGGGAGATGATTTGGGACACTTTGGGAGGATCCAGTCAAGCCAAAACCGCTTGAGCTTTCGGCAGGCAGGTTCCCTCGAACTTTACATATAAGTGACAATAGTGTGAAAAATACAAATATAAAGAAGAGTAATTAAATAATGTTTAATATATAGTTATAAGAATTGTAATTAATAATCAACATGCTCATTCATAGATATGGGTCTACTTGCAACCTCCAGTTCATACCTTAGAACATGGAACATGACCCTATAGAAAAAGGTGCTTGTCCTCATCTTCAGAGATACGTTTTGGGTGAGAAACTCCAGATATCAGATGGGTGTTTCATGCCCGCCATATTCAACGTGCTCCATGTTTCATCACTTCCAAAAGGCTGACGCATGACGCTCCGTTCCAGGGGACTGGAGGGGTGAACACGTCCGTTCAAGCGGACGTGGGTCACGGGTTGGTCCAAGAAACATCCGTTTTGAGCGACCAAGGCGACCAAGGGCTGTTTGGAGCGTTTGGGTACAAAGAATTTCACTGGATCATACCAAGGATCTACAAGCCGTGTGGCATCCTTTTCCACACAAGCAGCCTGTTTGTTTTATGTATTTGTTCGGATCGAGACTCGAATTGGTGTGTCTTTTTCCGCATGGGTGAATCCCGTTTCGTGGAAGAGGTTCTAATTTTTGTCCGGATTCCCGCAGGGCCGTAAGCCAATCATCATCTTCCTCATCAAGCGGTCAGCAGAGCACAAGAGCTGCTGAAAGCATAGGATCTTGATAGCCCCCTATTGGGATTAAAAACCATTGAATAGAATTAATAGAAACCTGAATTGTGAATTAGAAGTTTAATCTGAACAATTGGCAATTTGTATTATTAACTTATATAATATACTCAGGAGGTTCAGCTGAACCTTTTGATCTTTAATTTAATTCTAGGAAGATATTGACTCTCCTAACAGCTTCTAGAGCTGGGGACAGAGGGACCCCTTTTGAGCGGCAAATTGTTGAAGGGCCCCGCCCCCGATCCCAATTCTTGAGTTGGATCATCATGTCCACGAGTTTCTTTACATCAACAAACCACAAGTACCAGCACCTTCAAAGGGGTCACCTGGCTGGAAGCCCCTACACCACAATCAGGGACCTCGAGCCAGGACACCCCGAAAGAAGGGTCCAGGTCAGCTTTACTAGTACTTCAAACTACCGTGGTCAGCTGCTTGCAACTGACCGTGCTTTCAGACACTTGCAGCTGAGCATTGAGCTGGTGGTTTTTGGTACACTGGATTGGTCCTCCAATCGTGTGCTGGAGGGCTCTTGTTGTAACCCGAAGTGTGTCATCCCCACAAAGAGAATGCCATTTTCCCTGACGGGTGAAGTTCTCATCCCTCCATATTCCTCCTATAGCTACATCAATCTCACCCAGATAGAAAGCTCTCAAAGAATACATGAACCAGCACCACCCAGTTTGGGTGGTTATTAGTAATTAGATGGAAAATACATCTTCAGTGGGGTTCTACAAACCAATATAAACCACCCGAACTGGGTGGTGCTGGTATACATTGTTTCTATTAGCTTGGAGTCTCACTTCGTACCTCCAAGCTGTTCACTCGCAGCTTCTCCACCGGCGCCGGGTGGACCGAACTCGCCCGTTCTGCGCCGTGTTTGGCTCGATCTGCGTAGAACAATCCGATCGATCTGATCCATTTGGCTCGATCTGATCGAGCCCGAAGGTGGGAGGGGGAAGACGAGATTGGATGGGGTAGACGGGATTGGATGGACATGGCTCTGATGGACATGGCCCAGGGTCCATCAAGCCAGCTTGGCGCCACGCTTTTGGCACTACTTCGAGAAAGCTGGCCTTGGTCAAGAAAGAACAACATGGCATGTGTAGGTTCAGTACTGGTCTCCCCCTCGAACTCTCGCGGAAGACTCGTCGACTGGAGGTACCAGTCTTCCACCGAAGCCAGGGAGTCAGAAGGCCGGCGGTTTGGTCTCCCTATCCCTACCTGGGAAACCAGTCCCAACCAGAAACAAATGGATGTTTCCCCAAACAGCCATTTACTATGTAAAGGAGTTCACAACAACCATTTGTTTCTGGTTGTTTGGGTTTCCAGGTAGGGATCCAAGTACTTTGTCAGAAGGTGATGTGTTCGACACTGAGACGCGTATAGGTGCCAAAACGTCGGGTCCGTTTTCGTATCGAACCGGGTCGGTTCTGTACGAAAACGGTTCCCTATGGTTCTCCACCATGAAGAACTGGGTGTGCTTCCTTGTGTCGGTTGGGTTCTTTGTCTATCTCATTCTAGAAGGTATACTGGGTCACGGTAACGTCTTCGCTCGAAGGACATTGGATGGATCTGGACCCGACCTCAAGTACCTTAGAAAATGACACATGACTATATGCAGGTACATGTCCTCATGTTCAGACGTATATACTTACTGAGACTCCATGGACCTTCAGTTCGTGACCTAACTTGATATCCCATGTTGAGGTCACGTATTTGGGCCTGGTTTGAAGGTCACTGGATGGGATTCGAAAAAGATCAGCTGCAGCTAGAAGCTAGTAGAAGTTGTATATGTTTTAAAACTACACCAGACACGACCTGTTTGGGACTGGAGTATTTACCGATGGTGTGGTTTGAGGGATCTTTAAGTTATAGATCTTCCAACTGTGCAACACATATCAACACATTATACCTTTTCATCTTTAAAACCAGAATCAAAAGGCGTACATGTTGCATGATTCGAAGATCATAGGTTTTATGAGTTATATGATTTCATTATATTCCCTAGGGCTCCTGTCCCACCTCCTGAGAAGGTGGTTGGGGTGGGTGCCAGGGGGTCTAACCACCGAACCTGAGGGTATGGGCCAGGAGCCCTAGGGAATATACTGGTGGTTCGTTCCCGATTCGGGGTCACCTGGCTACACATGGAGCATGACACACGGTCCGGAAGACTCCTGCGAGCTCCGGCAGGGCCCCCGCGATGGCGGACGTGGCGGCAGCGAAGCCTGCGAGCGCCGCACCCGCTGAAGCGCCGGGGGGGGCTGAACCCCCGAGCAGTGGCTAGGTGGCTATAGAGGTCGGAGAGGTTGACGGTTGACTGAGTCATCACCATACCTGGAGCCTTCAAATCCATCATCACACATGGATTTGTACCTGGAGTTGACCCGGACACGTAGCTGGGAACATGGATAGATGGTACACGTATATCGGTTTGTTGCGTCTTGTGACATCTAAGGGACGGACTGGAGGGTCCAGTGTAGGACGTCCACCTGGTAGACGGTCTATAGTAGGGTTCTTCAACCTTTGCTGGTCTAGCTGTGGAGGTTCTTCATCCCAAAAACGGTGCGTTTTCCCCCCCCTACCAACCTCAAGCACTCCATAGTATATCACAGACACTCCATAGGGGATCATTCCAGATCATTGGGGTCGGTATTAGGATCAATGTTCCTACGGATGGCTTACATACCACACACGGATTGCGTCCAGGGTATCGGTCTTTTCCAACCGTTGAGTCCTCCATCGAGGCGGAAAAACCACTCCAATCAACTGCGTTTGAGGGCACGTTGGTTGGGTCCAACAGAGGTGGGTCAGGACCCGGTCACGTTCGACGTCCTCCCAGGCCAGGGTACGAACCTGTTTGACGGGTCCGAACTGGTCCCGGTCACTGGCCACCTCTCTTGGGTGGACCCATTTTTGACGGATGAGTGCAGAAAGCCCAAGGGATCACAAGATGATCCAATCGTACCTTCTCCTCATAAGATACCTATGACTGGGCCCGACGTGTGTTTACTGATATACCATATATAATATGTTTAAAAAAAAACTAACCTGTCATGCGGATTGGTAGACTTGGGATTTAAGTCTAAGTGTTGTTTGTTTCATGTTTATAGGTTGTTGTTCGTCCAGCTTCATTCCCCGCTGGGCAGGGACTCCACTTGTCACCTCCCACTGTGATGCAGTGAGGCTTGCAGTTCGCCTCCCTCTATGCGCTTTGGCCATCATAACATGACCGTTGGCCGGTTGGAGGTTTGGCATATGGTGGTCTTTTTGAGGACCATTCTGGGGTACCTGTGGGATAGTCTATAAGGTTCTTCAACCTCTGTTGGAAGGAGCCTTGTTCGTCCCAGACCATGCTGACACGCCTTCAAGCCCTGGTTGCAACGAACTGTGTCTCTCTGCATTTGAACCCCCATGGCCCATGCAATCCCAGGATTGGCCCACCTTCAACTTAAGAATTTTCGCTAACCTTGAAACCCTGTTCAATGTACCTATTAATTAAGAAAACCTTAAACAGGTTTGTTGAAAGCATGTTGAAGCCATATTGAATAGTGATTCTGTTGAAATGTACCCATTCTGAAACGAAGATGACTTAGCAACCGTTTTCCAATTTCTGTTTTGCGCTTTCCAGCCTTCATCTTTCTTCTCTACAAACAGAGCTCAAGCTGATTTGGAATCGTGACTGCCCTTCCTGATTAGTCTAGCCCTTCGATGGGCACCGGCGATTGGGTAGGATTCTATCACGCTAACAATCCATGTACGGTATAAAAGTATAAATGGCTGTGTGTCAACCTCGGGCAACCCTAGTTGACCACGGAAAATGAACAGAATGGATTACTGGTCAACCGTGCCTTTTGACCCACAGCCCTGCTCCCTCCCTGGATCATCCATGCCAGTCCAAGGGATACAACCTCTACCCCTACCCTAACCATGTACTGCTATGGATCATGGCCCATGCCTACATCTAACCCTTCCAGACCCTTCCATCCATGGCCCGGAACCCATAGCCTTCCTCTCCATCTGGGAGTGCCTTGCACACATGGAGTTCGTGTCAAGGCCAGTCATGAAGCCTAAAGAAATCCTTCAGATGAGGTCTACTAGTTGGCCTAGTAGCCCGAATTGAATCATTGGCAAAACGAAGAGAGAAGAAAGGCAGGGGCCATCCCATCCCATAGGAACGGTTTACGTTGTGCCCTTGAGTTCCTGATGGGAGGGATGCGCCTAGCCCAAGCCCAGTTCGCCCGGAACCAGTTCGACCGGCCTCTTGAAGAGGTCGCTTCAGCCTGGTGTGAACAAGACCTGGACCCGACGACTGTACCTTACAAAAGAGACATTCACCCGAGAACAAGTACCCTCCCTGAAACAATCATGGAAGTGGAACATGGCCACTGGGAAGGCGACGTTCACCAACAGGGAGTTGTCCACTTCCATGTTTGTTGGAGGGAGGGTAGTATGGTCCTCATTTTCAGAGGTACTTTGCTGGTCGACGGAACCAGTTCCCATCATTGATGCCGGGAGGGTGGCGCAGAACCTTCTGCAGATGGGCGGAAACTCGCCAGTGGAACAACAATTGTGGCGAGGTCTGCCGTCAACGCGAGAGAGAGGTCACAGATCAACCTCCTGATGCCAAAAACTTTACTTGACGTGTACCGGCTCTCATCTCACTCATGCATTGGCATAATATTCTTTGAACACAACGCCTCTCAACATGTAATGGATCTGCTTTGACGCAGATCCAAAGGCACACCCATGCTGCGCAGAGAGATCTTAAACCGCGGCGGATCCGCGCAAGACGCTCCGAGGTTGGGGACCTGCACATGGACTGTACCGAGGCCCTGCTCTACGAGGCCGGATCCATCCCAAGATCCATTGCCTGTTTGAACTGGAAGGACCAAACTTCACCCTACAAGCTACAGTCAGCTACACCCTACAAGCGCTACAAGTCCAGTCAGACCCAGTAAAACTTAGTCCGAACGACTTCATTGAGCCATGTTTCGAAGTATTTTCTCCAAATGATCCTCTTGATAGGGAATACCTGGAGTCTCAAAGTACCTCGGAAAATGGGTACAACATGGTGCAACTCCATATCTCTTCTTTGTTTGGGTCAGGTCGGAAACCTAGAGTACGGTACGCATGACCAGGTCTAGGAGATTCTTCACCAGTCCGGGACCACCTCATAACCTTATAGACTATCCCAGTTGGGTACCCCAGAATGGTCCTAGTTCAGGTCACTAGCCACCTCTCTTGGTCCAACATACTCCAAGCGCCCCGCCACGGACTCCGCCACCGACCCCACTCCTGGTCCAGTCGCCGGTCCAGTCCAGCCGCGCCAGGCCTTCAGTCGTGCGGGCAACGTGGCCTCCTGCCGTGTTTGCCGGGATAGCGCCACACGCAGGCGGAGGGAGTCCATGGCGGGGGGGCGGTCACCAAGAGAATGTTCAACTGTGTTGAGTCACATTCATTTCCGTGTGTATATGTATATATATACATATATTGACCTGAGCTGCTCGTAATACAGTAATGCATATTTTTTGGGACGTACATATGATACATATGTCATTCAATTTTATTGTTTATTGTGTTGTTTTGTTTGCTTGCTTGCTTGCTTGTTTGTTTGTTTTGTTTGTTTGTTTGTTTGTTTGATCGTATCACATTGACGTATTTTGACATATATAAACACTGAGGATAGTACATGTGTTTTGAATGGATCGTTTTAGAAAACCCTTTGTCCAGTGTTTTGAAAGGCCCTGCTTCGGGTCGTGTGCTTTTCCAGCAGGGGTCACAAACCAGTGCCGGGAGTATCAGTTCGTACCTCGGGTTCAGTGGGTACAGGTACCTGGCAGGTACCTGCTTTCCTAGGGTCATGTCCATCCAAGGAATGAACTGATGAATCCAGCTGGAGAATCACATTGTCACGACATGACACTTGTGTGACATCCCCATTGATCCCGTTTCCAACCGTAAATCCGGTGTGAGTTCACTTGTGTGTATGGAATTCTTTTGACAGGTCCCTGGGCTATGCTTATGTGAACTATTACAGCGTACAAGATGCTCGACAAGTGATGAACGACGAGACTGTCGGTGATGGGACATGCTTATTTTGATGTATTTTTCTTGATGCCCAGACGCTCCTGGACTCTGATATGGAGCTCAAATCGTTTTGAGGGACCAGTCGGGCGTGTTTCACGGAGCATCTGGGTGGGACATGACTTGATGAGGCCCGGAGACGCGGCTCATGGGACCGTTGGTGTCAGTGTGGAACAGTGTGGAATGTAACGTAGTGTCAAGCAGGGACGAATGAGAACAAATGGGTCTCGTGTCAGAATACGGAGACCAACCAGGGCCACAGGGCCGGAAAGAGTCGGACATCGACGAGTGAAAGGGCGGGCCCAAGGGGCTCCAGGTTTTGACCCACAGCATCTATAATATAGCTAGAACCTGAATGACCTCTATTTTGGACCACCAACCACCCAAAAGATGGCCAAACTTCCAATCAAAAGAGGGGTCAAAACAGGGTTCCAGGTAGCCATATAAAAATACATACCCAGATGATCCCAGATGATCCCAGATGCAGTTCAGGGTTCTGGGACCCCAGAAGAAATGCGACCTACCTTTGCCCATGTTCAGCGATCCAGTTGGTTGAAAGACTAGTACAGAGATGTAAGAGCATGGTTTTTTACAGTAACCACGAAAGTAAGGACACTTTTGTTAGTTTCACTGCCAAAAGGATGTGAGTGTGAATTAGAATAGGGATGAATAGGGACTCTTGGAATAAACCTGGACTCGATTTGATTGTATAGACGAACATGCAACATTCGACCCTGCAACAAACTATGTACTTCCCCGAGCCCCTCCGGTCCTGGAATCTCGGTCGACCCGCGAGGGACTGGAGGAACCAGTTGGGCTGTTTGGAGCGTCTGGGTCAAACCAATATGATGGTTCGGTATGAAACAGGCTATGAAATAAAATGCTGGGCTACGACCTAGAGGGCCTAGTAAAACTTGGGCACCGTCTGGGTACGAAGCCGCATAGACTCTGAGATACGTGGAACCCGGTCGACTCTGGGTACCTGGTCCACATGTTCTCGGATCGAGGAGATGAAACGAGACCGACAGAACGTTCTCCGGGCGAAGGCAGCTCCGCTCGCTCCGACCCCTTTCTCCCAGCGCTAAGCCACATAAGTCTCCGGTGATTGAAAGCCACATGGGAGAGAAACAATTGGGGCCCAGATACGACTAATGGGACTGCCAGTTCGGACTGCCGCCCCAGCAAGACCCCGGTTTCAACCACCCCTGGCCGTTTCTCGGTCAAGGACTGCCAGTCCCATGAGTCGTGGACATGGGACATGGGATGAACTTGAGGGGGTCTTCCTCTTCATCGTTGGGCTGTAAGATGTGCCATGAATAGACCAGGCAGGCAGGGTGCAGGGTCGAAGCTCAGCTCAGCTCAAGCTGTCAGCTCAAGCTGCTGGGTTTAACAGTGGTGACCCTTTCGTCGCACCACCGAGGACGCGGAGCGAGCCTTGCAAACGCTGAACTACATGAGCATCAGAGGCGGATTCAGGGATGTTCGACCCTGCGGGTTCGTTCCCGTCTTTGGTTTGTGTAGAAAACCCGCAACCGGTGTCCTTTCTTGAACATGTTTGAACTGTTTTTTTTAACCGTTGCGTTTGGTTGGTGTGTGTTTGTGTATATTTGTTGTTTCTGTTTGGTGTTCATCGGTTTTGGTGGGATTGAAGTTTGTGAGCGAAAAAAGAACAGAGGCTGAGACCTAGAGGATTGTTCTTAGATCGATCCGGGAGTGTATTTGAGGCCGAATGGTGTGGCGTGTCACTTTGTTCAGCTAATCTTTCATTGGAGAGTTTGGACCATTTGCTGGTCTTCAGGGCACCTGACATCACTTTGGCACGCCAAAGGTCCTGAAACAAGAGTAAACATGCAAGTATACCAGTATACACATGTACAAACACCTTTTGCATGACAAAATGAAGCTGATCTGAATGATGTTGATGTTGCATGTGCAATTATGTTTAAAGATGCCTTTTTCAGCCGGTCACAAATCAGATTGCTCCAGTCCTGTGAAAAAGGAGCAACCTTCGAAGCCGTGACCTCTTGGCTTCGTTCGACTGACTCGCGCAACACGCACGGCCCAGGCAAACCCATCCGCGTGATGTGGAGTCAGCGGGATCCCGAACGACGGAGGAGCCGGGACGGACGGCGCTGGAGGGTTTGACTTGGGTCGTCGGACGGACGGCGTACGGAGTCGCACGTTGTTGGTACAGAACATGGGTACAAGTATATCTAGTAGTATACCTGCATACTTGAGCGTCATGTCAACTTTCTAGGGTACGAACTGGAGGGTCCAGATAGATGTATTAGTTGATGTACTTTTTCAGTTTGAAAAAGAACAAATACAAAAAACAAAACACCTTTTGAGGGTCGCAGAGGCTGGCCGCTTCCTCCTCTTTCCCCCACACAACATGCTGACCATTGATGGTTCTTGCGAAGGCTGTGAGGGTCTGACCATAGGACCTCTGTGGGAGGCATTGGGCTGGGCTTGGTGGGCCCAGTTCAACTCAAACCCAGACGGGACTGGCATATGTACGACCCCAGAAATCAACCACCCCAAGGTAAGGTCAATCAATGCCAGTTCCAAACAAGTTGTGTGTCGCGTATATAAGAGTGCTTGGTTTTTGCCTGGACACCGGCAGAGACCTGACAGTTCACCGCGGCGGCCCTCAAAGGGCATCCAACCAATTCCAACCATCCAGTGTCCACCTCAAATGCATCCATATGGGGATTGGATGGTTGGAATTTGGTTACATCACCCATACCAATCACCCATACCAGTCCCATGAAAAGACTTACAGTAACAGTAAGAGTCCTCGCATCCATATGGGGATATCGGTCGTTCAACCGTGTTCGCCTGACCAGTCCACCAGGTCAACGCCGTGACCGGTCAACCCAGGTTTGCTTTTGACCCACCAAAACAATCGAACCCAAAGACTAAATCCACAACACTGAAACACCTTCGATATGTATGGACTTGTGAAGAACGCGAGTCACCCGACCTCGACCAAGAGCTACACCAACTCACGTCCGAAGACGGTCCCGTTTGCGATCGGCGATCGTTTTCGCGTCTGAAGACGGCGTCGCAGCGCAGGAATACCGCCAGCAACGTCTTCGTGAAAGGCTTGGACCTTTCGATTGATACCAAAGCCTTGCACGACACCTTCAGCACCGGGGCCGCGTATAAGCAAGAACGGCTAGCGCGTGCACCTGCGCGTGCGGCTGCGCGTGCTGGGGGCGGTGTAAGTAGGGTGACAGTTCAAAGCATGCCCGGTGTTTGGAAAAGACAGGTGAATCAGTATAGGGCCAGTTCATGTGTTTGTTTTGTATGATCTACTTGTTTACTTGTTCTCCTTCTATAGGGTTTTGAACACAAGAACATCATCCAACTGTTGCATTGATCACATTTGTTGGTTGGAAGTGCTCTCAACCTTATCCATCCAGGTGCTGGTACTTGAAATCTAGAGAGCTGCCACCCACCCCAGTCCCACCGAACCGAAACAGATATACGGCCTGAGTGACGGTGCGGCCTGACGTGTTCACACAGAAGGCAGGCGAAACCGCCAGGTTTTCAGCAGAAAGATCAAAAGCCCAACAAAACATTTGGGGTAGGAGATGTCTAACAAGGACTCCTGATGATATCTAACAAACAAAACAAACATTAAAACACATAGAAACACTAGAAAACTATATATACTCACACTGTTCTCTCCAAACCTAAGAAACACGCCACCTGGCTCGATCAATCCGTTCTTTTCTTCGTTCCTGCTCCACCGTTCGCACCGTTCGTTGGTCCGTTTGAGGCATTTTCGGGAACATCCTCAGCTGTAAGGTCGCGACCAACAGCGTGGGGAAATCCCGAGGTGCGGGCCTGGAGCCGGATCAGCGTTGGTTTGATGGATCAGGTGATATCTTTATTTTGGTTATATAAGTTATATGAGCGGTTTTGTGGGTGATGTTTTGTGTTGATTTTCCTGCTGGCAAATTCTCTTCTGCTGAAGATGCATTTACTGTTTGTTTTCCCCGGCTCCTGGACAGCAAATCCAGACTATTAAATACACCGAAGACAATGTACCTGGACCTGAAGTCTCAGTTCGTACGACACAGTCGTACTTGATTTTTATGTGTTTTTACAGCTATAAGGGCTCCCTGTTTGGGGTGGTTAATGGATACCCCTTGTTTTTACAGCTATAAGGGCCCCCTGTTTGGGTGGTTAATGATACCCCTTAACCTTATACGGATCTATAATTGGACACCCCTGGGTTCGGGGGCCCTGGTATAAGGTCATGTCCTAGTGGTGTTTGTCTAGGGTCCCAATCCAGCGGACATGAGGTTGTGAGCTTTGAGGCTCTGCCCCTGGCACCGCAGCAACTTGAAAAAGAGATCAAGTCCTTTCGGTCAAAGGGTGAAGAGCACCAAAATAGATGCAAATGGTATCACTTTGGCCAGCACTCAGCAACTAGACTAGACTATATGCATTTCTTCTCTCCAACAAACTGACTGAAATCAGATCTGATTCACCCTAGGAAGAAGAAAATAACATGCCTCCACCTCATATTCCCCAAAAGCGCCTATTTAAACCAATCATTTCAACAGTTGACTGCTTCTCTCTCTCTCTCTCTCTCTCCCTCTCTCTCTGTCTTTGTTCTCTCCTCTGTCTCGCGTCCCATCTGATCGGTCATGTCTTGAAGCAACTTGATCCAGCTCCTTTGGACTTGATCCAGCTCCTGTGGACTTGATCCAGCTCCTGTGGACTTTATCCAGCTCCTGTGGACTTGATCCAGCTCCTTTGGACTTGATCCAGCTCCTGTGGACTTGATCCAGCTCCTGTGGACTTGATCCAGCTCCTTTGGACTCTTTGGGCAAGGAAAACACCTCAGGTTCTCGAACGGCTCCAATCCCCAAGACTGCTGACTGCAGCAATCCCTAGACAAACCACCACGTTGGGAAGACTGAACATCTGAGTCTTGACAGGGATCCGGGATGTAGATGTATTCCAATTTACTCCAACACACCACTTCTGGGCCACATGAACATGTGAGCACAGGCGATGTTCCGTTCTTGTCATGAGTTCTGTAGGAGAACTTGGCAGCGACCACTCGCATACTGGGTCCAGTGCAGGGCGCTGGTAGCGCTTTCGCGCCGCGAGGCTATGGCTTCGTGCACTATGAAAGTGAAGAGGCTGCGAAGGAGGCCATTGCTCAGGTCAACGGCAAACAGATCGAAGGCGAGGAAAACGGAGAGCGCCGAGCTCGCCCCGAGCACACCGGTGCGGAGCTTTTTTCTCGCTGGATGCAAGGGACACGTGGAACGTTGACGCCGATGAAGGGGCTGGATCAAAAATAGGCTTGATGAAGGGGTGGTCATAGGCTGTCGTGGTTCTGAAGAGGCTTCTCAAGGATTCACGTTCGGAGAAAGGTCCGGGAAGAAGCCTTGTTTGGGTCTTGGAGTGACCACCATGGCTGGGTCTTGAAGCGCAATCCCGTGTGGCTCCCACGGTGGTTGCGGTGCTTGTCCCCAGTTTCTAGAGGAGACCACGCTTCGAATGTGGTGGTTTCTGGAACTGGCCTATGTGACCATTTGAGAAGCTAAGCAGTGGCCTAAGGCTTATAAGGTACTGGCCTATGTACTGAACTGGCTTATGTTTGCTAAGCAGTGGCAGTCTCATATTTGACTGGCACAGTCTAATGATGAGATGGGCTGGAACCTTTGAATGTTGAACACCGATCCAAGCCTCTCCACAGATATAGTGAGGAACAGGGGCTGTCCATGTCCAATTTTGAGCCCCGCCCAACCCGTCAAATCGTGCGACGACGGTGCTGGAGGCAATGGTTGGCAGACCCCCCACTTTCGACAATAGGCCATGACCCGAACCTCTACCGTACCCGCTTCCGGGTCGAGTCCAGGTATAGATATCCTTAGGAATCCTGCCACGTATACCAGCCACCTGGCACTACCGCACCGTTTGAACGCGCGGCGTTGAACGCTGAGTTTCCTCCAGGTAGCACCGTCTTCGTGGGGCCCTTTATCAAGAGCCACTTGGATCGAGGAAGGAGGGAAAGAGAAGCCTGCCAAGCTATTCTCCTAAACCCCAAACCCGCTACCAGGCTATTCTCCTTGCTTTAGCCAACATGTATAATATTGCGCAGTTGTTGACCTGAATTTGCAGCTACTTGGAGTGCGTTCGTACCTCAGAAATGGGTACAACTGATACCCGGAGACTCCAAGATTCGTTTTCGCCCTCTCGTCACGCCCAGGGGAGCAGCGGGACGCAGAGGCAGCGGAGAGCTACACCAACCTCTATGTGAAGACGCCTGGTAGCACTCCCAAGGAAGGACTTCATCCATGTCAAAATCCCTTGGAACAACTTGACGTAGACCTAGACCGTTGATGAATAACCCCAAGGACTGGAGATGAAAAAACATCTATTAATCAACTGAATCAACGTATATAACACATAATATATGATTATTTGGTGGATTCTATCTCATCTCCGTTTGGTACATGTTTCCTGTGTTGGCGGTCGACAGCGTTTTCTCCGCGCGGTTTCTCATCATCCTCCACTGTTACTGGTGTTATAGGATATAGCCCAAGACATGCACTTTGCCGATGAAGCCGATGTACCCTGCCGATGAACCACGCAACCTTTGGACCACCCCACTCACAAAAACCCACACTCCATGTGTGCCGTATTTGCCGAGAAATTGCCAGGGGTGGTTTTAAGAACTCTAAGATGGTGTTCACATGATCAATGTATATATATATATAGCCCATTATAACCCCATACATGGATGGTTAGGGGTAATATCCGTATCCTTGGACTTTTTCATGTATGATCTATGGATCATCCTAGATGAACACTCTTCTTAGCTTAGGGCATCCCAGGCATATCAGGAACTGTATATCAGGAACCAGGGCTTGGGAACCACTGGGATCCGGGTCGTCTTTCCGCTCTCTTCGTTGCGTCTCGGGGTGCTTTGTTGTTTTTACATAAAACTGGTTCCCACTCTGGATCGTTTTTTCCACCATTCTGCCCATTCGTTCTTCGAGGTGCTCCTACTCATGGGCCCCATATGGGCGTTGGTTGTTGTTGTTTTTTTGTTACCCAAAAGTTCCACGGCTGCGGAGTGCCAGTGGTGCTTGTGACTCGCCCACCTCAGGAACTTTCCAGACAGCTGGGACGACGCGAAGGTCAGCGACGTCTTCAGCGAATTTGGAGAGGCGAAGTCGGACAGCGCGGGACAGCGCTGGACAGCGCCCCACGTCGGTGTGAGAGCGGAGGACAACACCGGTGTGGAAGACCGGTGTTGTGACGGGCGCCCATGTGGGATGTTGAATTGGATGTTTGGGGTTGAAATGTAACAGTGTTGCTTGGGGGTGAGATGTAGCAAGCAAAGTTGAACTTGGCGTCTCTCAATTCGTACGCTCCAAAAATGGGTACACGCAGTCGTACTTTTTACGGCCATGTCCCATTTTCTATAGGGTATACGGTATACTGTATAAACTGGAGGGTCCGAACTCGGAGAGCTTGACTTGAGGCCTATCTCTGAAGCTGTTTGAGCAGAGTCCAGCAGGCTTCGACAACCATCGCTGGCCCTTTTGCTTTGTCCTGACATCATTTACCGCGGCAAAGTGAAGGGATGTTACGGCGACGTGTTTCACAAATGGAAAGCGCGGGGCATGGTCAGATGCCTCTCCTTTAGCCCACCCTGCAAGACCCACACACACACGGACACGTACACGTACACGTACAGTCACGTACACGATAAAATCAGGTATAGAGATTCCTTGACCCTAGGGATCCAAGTACCTTGTCAGAAGGTGATTGGAGAAAAGGCAGGTTTGGAGGGTTCAGTCGTACCTTCTGAGGTTCGGCACGACTGGATCCCTAGGGTGAAGTAGTGGATCCATGAACTCAATCCATTTTTGTTCTCTCCTCCAGGTACGAGTGGAACGAGTCGTTTGGGTCAAAAGGGGGGGTTCCACGGATCTGTTCCAAGCAGCTTCAGGTGGTTTCTGCTTGGATTCGGGCCAACCCGGCCGGCTGCCTACAGAGGTTAAGTGACCTTAAAGGACCCTACAGGGGTAACTATATAGAATAGTCTATAGGGTTCTTCAACCTCTGCTGGTGGGCCACTTCTCCACAAGACAAACCGGGAAAGGTCGCCTCCTCCGTCCTCTTGACCAACGATGATGGCAAGAGGCGCGGAAAATACGCGCGGGGGGCGATGAAACACTCAGCCGCAAAGCATGGTGTTATTCGAATTGTTCATGATAGGTCGGCCCTTTGTATGGGAGTTGTTCAGGATCTTCAAAAGGCATATATGGCTATTGTGTGATCAAGATCGACGGAAGAGACAGAGAGAGAGAGAGAGAGAGTGTGAGAGAGTCAGTCTTTCCCTTGCAGCCTAACATAGAACCTGAAAACACCGTTCACCGTTCCTCTACCGGTGGAACATGCAAATTCCATGATCGATGTTCAGGTTCGAACCATCATCAGTTTGCTGCCTGGGTGAGTTTCCCAAAATAGAACCTTCAACAGAAAACGATTCCGTCACTTGTACACCCATATCAGTTGCATATCCCATCATAATCCGAGCTCGGGCTCTCGGGGTCGGACCCTCTTTATTCGAGTGACACGCACGCAGCCGGACGCAGGAGGGGATCCGGTTCCACCCTATCCCAGACACGACGACCTGTCTGGGACTGCCAGTTCGGATTGCCGCCCCAGCAAGACCCGTTGTTCAAAACCACCCCTGGCCCGGCCGAACGGCCGAACGAAACGGCGCAGTCGAAAACGGGGTCGTATCTAGCCGTTTGGCAGTCGCTTTCTCCGGTGGTTCCGGGGAGTCTGGGGAACACCGAGCACCGGGCACCCTCCGACGCGCCGCCGCGTCCGCCGCGCCGGCGACAGGTTCGCCCTGGTGAACTTCCAGTCGCCGGACGCGGCCAAGGCCGCCGTGGAGGCCTTGCACCGGAAGGACCTGCGAGATCCGGAAGAGGCGGGGGAGGATGGAGGGGTCCAAGGGAAGGAGGGCAAGAGAGAGATGCTGGGGGACTCCAAGACATGGTCACTGAAGACTCTGGGATGGGGGGGGGGAACGATGCGTGGACCAGGCATGGACGACTAAGGCTAAGAGACGACTAGGCCCTTAGCGCTCTGAAGCTCCGTGGTGCTTGACACGTTCTGTCTCGATCCCATTCGTTGGAGAAGGAGATGACGGCACGCACGAGTCCGTCCTGGCCCATCGAAGTTGGTCACGAAGGAAAGCACAGTGGGAAAGCACAGTGGGAAAGCACGAGGTGGAGCAAGAGGGGAATGCTGGGGTGGATGCAAGAGGTGATTGATGTGATTATTTATGAGTATTTCCATCTGAATTTTATGAGACTATTAATGGTACCGTGGTTTCAGAGTAGATGGGACAAACCCACAGATTACAAGGCTTAATATGGGTAAACCACCATAAACCACCCAACTTGGGGTAACTTGTGCCATATACCCCGATTTCTCCCTATACTTCCGGCTTTGAGAGACATCTGCAGCTCAGGCAGCTCAGGCCTCCCAGGCAGAGGCTTTCACCAGCCGTCTCCAGGCTGAGAAGGAGGAGGAGCCGCCGGATGCAGAGAAGGCCGAAGCCGAAGAAGCTGTGGCAGCTCAGCTGGCGACCGCCGTCAACGGATATGTTGACCAAATGGAATCCAAAGACGGACCTGCCAAATGTGCAGAGCTCCTCATGAGTTATACGTATACACAATTATATACGCATACTTACACCAACACGACTCCGAATGCATGTCTTTGTTTTGCTGATCTGACAAGGAGAAGTGATCTTCCAACAAAACCCATGTTTATAAACAAGCAATTCATTTACCTGGACCTTCCAAAGTACCTTGCAAAATGGGACATGATCCTATAAAACCGGTACTGTATACCAATTTTCCGAGGTACGAACTGAGACTCTAGGCAGACGCCACTGACCAAATCCAAGAATTCGTTGGATTCACTTAGAACCGGTCAAACCTTCAATGCCGCTTCTTCCCCCGTTTAGGTCTCGTCCTCAGCAGTGTCCCGCGCAGTTGTGCGGGGCCCTCCGAAAAGGCCAAATCACATGGACTGCCTTCGATGGTCACAGTCTTCGCCAGCTCAGCGGGCTGTTCCGCACCCGTTGTGCCGCCGTTGGGCCGTTGCGCCGTCGCCCGAGGACAAGGTGCCGCCGCATTTGCTCTACGTGCAGCGCGCGCAGACGCGCTCGGAGCGCCGAGCGGCGCTGGAGGAGGACCGGCGGCGGAACCAGGCCATGGGACGGGTCTATCCACCAATCAGTTAGGGTGGTTGAAAGCGGGGTGTCAATGTAAGCATATTCCATGGTTTTTAAAAGGCATGCATGTGTTTCTTTCATGAAATGATTTCAAGATATTTGAAGGATTTGGTCAGGTTTGCAACAGAATCACATTATGAATGCTTCAATCATTAGGAGGCGTAGCTTCGCAAGGGGAACATGTTTTGCACTTAATCAATCTCTTTTGTTCCATCAACGTGCTAATGGGTCAGCCAACATACTCTACATAGAGCTACTCAGGACGGAAGATAAAGTTTGAGACAACATGCCATTCACTCGAGGCTGTTCTGACTTGCTTGTTTTGCATCAGCTTGATTTGCTTCAAACAATAGTCAAAGCATTGGTCTATCAAGAGCTTCCTGCAGTCTCCCTATCCCAACCACTGAACCTTAAAGATAATAACTTTGTGAGCGCAATCCTCAGCTCATGATCCAAATCAACATTGCTTTGCTTTGCACCTGCTATTTGCTTGCTATTGTCAATGTGGAGGCTGCTCAGGATGGTAACTATATATATCCTTCAGGCATCCCTCATGCAACGATACTACACCTTACATACGGTCTTGACACTTCTGCCGCAGCCCACACACCTGCACAGACACTCTGACACTTGTATTCAGTTAACTCAATTTCCCGATGGGAAGGAAGGTGACAGAACCGC